GGGTAGCATCCTGGAGGGACGGAGCAGCCAGCAGGCCTGGGTTTAGTGGGAAGCAGGAAGGCATTGAGGGGCTGGGGCAGCTGCTACTTGAGGGGATGACCTCACTGGGCTGACCCAGCTCTTCTGGCCAGGAACCCATCCCAGACCACAGCTCCGGCCCCTGTGGAGTGGGGCAGTGGTTCCAGGCCGCGATGCCATCCTGCGCTGCGAGGGCCAGTTGCCTGACGTCACCTTCGAGCTGCTTCGGGCAGGCGAAGAGGAGCCTATAGCCAGGCTCTGGTCCAGCCACCCTTCAGCAGACCTTGTAGTGACCTATGTGGGGCCCAAGCACGTGGGCAACTACAGCTGCCGCTACCGCTGGTGGTCACCCAAACCCTTCGTGTCTGAGCTCAGCGACCCGGTGGAGCTCCAGGTGGCAGGTGAACTTTTCCTCTGGTTCTGTGAGCTGGGTTCCTCCTTCCTGCCTTTGCCCAGATTGTGCCCTCTGCCAGGAGGGCCCCTTCCCTGCACCTCCTCCCAGCATACTGGTTAGTGTGGCTAGTCTGCTGGGGTTACGAGGGAAATTGAAGGCAGGGAAAGGCCCTGGAGCAGAGAGTGGTTTGGTCAGCTAGAGCACCTGGAAGGAGGCCCACCTGTGGGAGGGGTCTTGGCTGGCGGCTGACCAAGCTAATTACTTCCTGAGGGGTCTCAGTGAGGTCTGCCCTGATTTCACCAGGGAGGAGGACACCTGATGCCTCCCTCCTCTACCACTTCTGTTTTGTCAAATTGTCTAGGAAGTTGATCCAGCTGCAGACTCACACTGCTAATGGTATCTTTGGCAAGTAGTTTCTCCAGTCTGGCTCTGATGCCTCACGCCGCAGCTAGAGGCTGGACTCACCTGGAAGTGCTGGACTGCCCCTCATTCCTCCTGGAAATCAATAAAAATGTGGAGACTTTAAAAGGTGTCCTTGGCTATGGCAGTCCTGGTGCAAGGGGCCATACTTCCAGGGCTGAGTGAAGTGGTCTGGGATCTTGTGTCCTAAAGGTAGATGGGCTCTGGGGTGGATCCTGAGGATATAGGGGCCATGGACTGGCTACTTGGGGCCACATTTGTCAAGATTACCTTTTGCTTTCTTCAAGCTGCCTCCTACTCTGCAGGCACTTCTGCCTGGTCCCTAGCAGGTCTGGGTAGGGAGCTCCCCAAACAAACCCAACCCCACCTTGACCAAATTGGTCCCCACACTGGGAGGCACTTCAGAAAGGCTGCATTTTGTAGTTCTCTTTTCTGGACTGAGTGGCCACCAGCTGATGGTGCTGGAGTCTGTGCCCAAAGGCTAGGTCTCTCACACTGGAGATTGAAACTGTTGTAGGGGTGCGACTCCTCTTTATTCTTTCCCATGTCTCCTCAGATCTATCTAAGATCCTTTGCCTGACCCAGTACCCCTCTAGACATTTGATTGCCCAGTCTACTTAGAGCTTGGCCCTCAAGGTACAGGAATACCAGAAGCTTTGTATCAGCATTATCAATTAATACTTCATAAGTTTTGTTTAAGGAACTTGCCTATTTCAGCTGAGTGGTCTGATTTCCTGGTATAGAGTTAGTCACAACATTCCTGTATTAGTTCAATGCCTACAGAGTCTGTAATGATGTCACCTCTTTCATGCTTGATATTGTGTCCCTCCTTACCCCCCCAATATCTCCCTCTGTCAGTCTAGCTAGGGATTTATCAATTGTATTAATCTTTTCAAAGAACTAATTAACTTTTGGATTTGTTCATTTTTTTCTTTTTCTTTTATTTTTTAAGATTTTTATTTATTTATTTGACAGAGAGAGATCACAAATAGGCATAGAGACAGGCAGAGGTGGGAGGGGGAAGCAGACTCCCCGCTGAGCAGAGCCCGATGCAGGGCTCGATCCCAGAACCCTGTGATCATGACCTGAGCCGAAGGCAGAGGCTTAATCCACTGAGACACCCAGGCGCCCGTGTTCATTTTTTCTGTGGTCTCTTTTCTACTTTGTGGATCTCTACCTGTATCATTATTATTCTCTTCTATTTCTGAATTAATTTGTTCTTTTTCACTTTCTTCAGGAAACACAGATCACTGATTTCTTGGGAGTAGACATCAGTAACAGCTCATTATTAGGCTTAAAAACAAGTCTGTATTAGTTTAAATAATAGGAAATTACTTCTTTGTGAATAAAAAATAATTGGCAGGGCACCTGCCTTATTTATTTATTTATTTGTTTATTTATTTGAGAGAACACAAGCAGGGGAAGTGGCAGAGGCAGGGGGAGAAGCAGGCTCCCCACTCAGCAGGGAGCCCACTGTGGGGCTCAATCCCAGGACCCTGGGTTCATAAGTTGAGCTGAAGGCAGACGCTTAACCAACTAAGCCACTCAGGTGCCCGTAGAGCTTCATTGTAATTCATTTATTGGGCTTATTTCTTTGCATAGGTGTGTGTGTCTGTCTGTCTCTGACATTTCTCTAGGGATTACAATATGTGTACCTCACTCTTCAGTCTACATAGAATTAATAGAGGTCTCTGACCTCTTTGACCATAGAATTAGAGGTCTCTTTGCCCTCCCCTCTAATTTAAAAAAAAAATTTTGTACACTAATGGTTCTTTGAGATATAATGTATATGCATTAAAATATACAAATCTCAAATATATCACTGAATGAATTTTTTTTTAAAGATTTTATTTATCTGGGCGCCTGGGTGGCTCAGTGGGTTGGGCCGCTGCCTTCGGCTCGGGTCATGATCTCAGGGTCCTGGGATCGAGTCCCGCGTCGGGCTCTTTGCTCAGCAGGGAGCCTGCTTCCCTCTCTCTCTGCCTGCCTGTCTACTTGTGATCTCTGTCTGTCAAATAAATAAATAAAATCTTAAAAAAAAAAAAAAAAAAAAAAAAAAAAGAAAAGATTTTATTTATCTGACAGAGAGAACACAAGCAGAGGGAATGGCAGGCAGGGAGGGACTCTCCACTGAGCAAGGAGCCCGATGTGGGGCTTGATCCTAGGACCCCGGACCCTAGGATCATGAGCTGAACTGAAGGCAGCCACCCAGGCACCCCCAATGAATGAATTTTGATATTCTCCCCTCTTTATGTTGTAGTCATACATACTAAAACAACATACATTGAACACTACCAATGTTATAAGTTTTGTTTTCAACAGTCATATCTATCTTTTTTAAAAAACATTCATGTGTTTCCTAAAGAACAAAAATTTGCAATGCATTACTTTCTTTACTACCAAAGTTTTGATTTTCTTTCTGGTGTCACTTTCCCTTCTACCAAAATCACTCTTTAGCCTGCTGGCAAGATTGTTAGTTTTGCATAATTTGAAAATGTTTTTATTTTACTCCCCTTCTTGATTTGTATTTTCATTGGATATAGTATTTTGGATTGCCAGGGTTTTTTTTTTCCCCCAACACTTTAAACATGTTGTTTCTCTGCCTTCTGGTTTTCACTATTTCTGACAGGAAACCCATAATCTTTTGCACTGATCTTTATAGGATACATAGTTTTTCACAGACTGTTTTCGAAATTTTTAAAATTTGTTTTCAGGAGTTCAATTATGATGTGTCTAGGCATAGATTTCTTTGAGATTACACTGTTTTTCACTGAGCTTTCTGAACCTGTAAACTGACACCTTTTCCAAATTTGAAAAGTTTCCAGTAATTACTTCTTCAAATATTCTCTCTGCTATTATCACAAAGAATGTGGCAGCATTTTCAACTACATGTATGGTCTTATCAGTTATTGTGATTCTGTTCCCTAATACAGATGTCATGAGCTGTCTGGTTCCAAACTATCACATCTTCCTAATGCATGTTCTATTTATTACAAAAAATACCACAAAAAACAAACAGACAAACAAAACCCCAACAAAACAACATAGCAATCCTATGACCCTAATGATGCTTTCGTGTCAACATCTATTTTGTTGAAATTAATATAGCTCTGTTGTCTTTCTTCAGATTCACATCCGCCTTGTATATCCTTTTCTATTCCTTTACCCTCAACTTGCCCATTTTAAATGTGTTTCTTCTAAAGAACATATGTCTGGATTTGAAGGAAATCCAATGTTAGTATTTGACTTACTTGGTTTGTTGAACATAGTGGTGCTTCTTAAAATTGCTGACATTATTTGGATAGGCTTTCAAATCTTAGTGCTTCCAGTCTCTGGCAGTAAAAACTTGGCCACGTCCCTTCCTCTGTAAAACAGGGATGGTCATCCTGCCCTGAGTGTTGTGAGATGATGTACATAAGTTATTTGGCAGAGTGAACAACACATGTGGATCCTTAATGAAGATTCCTTTTTCCTGATTTCCTCCCCCTTTAGACAAACACGGGAAGACACATATGTCATGACGAAGTGGGTGGTGGAGATGCTCAGAGCACCAGGGAATGGAGTTTCAGCTCTTCTGTGCCAAAGACAAGGAAAATGGGGGCAGAAAGAGGTGGAGATGGACACTGCAAGCTGGTCGCCAGGCCCTGGGTTGGGTCCTGCACAAGGCAGGTCGTCTTATTCCTGCTTTATAGATGAGCAGTTCACTGAGGTTTAGGGAAGTCACTAATCTGAGGTCCTAAAAGCAGCCCTGGGGAGCAGTAGGGCTTGGCAGCCTGACTTTAGGCCCATATATTTCCATTGCCTGAAGGCTTTTTGGAGGCCTGTGTGATCATTTCACTAGTAATGTGTATCTCTCATCTCTGAGCTTTTCCCTATGTCTGAGTCTTTGAGTCTCTCAGCCTTGGTCTCACTATGAGTGGCAGTCTGCCTGTGTGCAGGTGTATCTGGGACTTTCTCAGAGATACTGATACAAGATCTGTTTCCCTGGGTCTCAACCTTCCTGTTCTGAACCTCACTCCTTGGTTGGTCTGTGTGACTCTGCTTACTTGTGACACAAAGGGAATGAGTTCAAGACACAGGGAGAAACACTGGGAGAGATGGTACAGTACAAAACAGTATGGTAGGTCAAAAGGCTAACATGTGAATGTGATAGGGTCATCAGAGAGAGACACCCTAAAAGTTAAGAACAGAAGCAGTGACATCCAGTTACAGACATGGACCCTGAAAGAGGGGCAGGGATACAGAACTGTGAGAGAAGGCCAGAAAGCACTGACAGCATGCTGGCAACCACTGAGTCCAGGGAATTCTGGGGCGATAGAAAGGGCAGACTCAATATGGTAACATTTTATTGAGGCCACTGTATGCTAGGCTTGTCTGAGTGCTGGGGCTCTAGGAAAATAAGATTCTTCTTGCCCTGCAGGGTGTCAGGGAGACAGCAACCTTTCTCAGGTCGCAGGGTGGAGCATGGCAACTGCCTCCAGGAAGGCACCAGTAATGGTATAATCATTCAACAGACACTGGTCAGAGCTTACTGCATCCTGTGCTGTGGATACTGAGGATAAGACAAGGTCCTTGCTCTTGGAAGCTCACAGTCTCTTTGGGAAACACAGACTGTAAGCTCTGGAAGCAGTAAATACAACATGGTAGGAAGTTAAAGAGAAGTTAAGGAGGTGCTCTGGAAGCAAAGAAGGCAAGTTGAAGTCAGCTCAAGGAAGTAGGGAGGGTTTTGTTAGAGAGGGATATGTGAAACATCTAGGAGGAAAGGAGAGAAGGTTTGCAGGCACAGGTACAGAGGCACGTAGGTGGGGGGAAATATGGCTTCTTCAGGAACCACAAGTAGTTCCACAGGGCTGGTGTGTGGAAGGTGGGGCTACCACAGGAGGAGATGAACGGGGGCGTCAGGTCACAAATGATCATGAATGGCAGGTGAAGGAGTTTGACATATATCCCTAAGGGCAGTTCTTTGAAACCATTTTCACATCACTGAACACATAGAAAAATGACAGTTTTCACATACACATATAAGGGTACCTGGAGAGGTTGTTTGGGGCCAAGACTTATGTCTTGGCATACTTGTAACCCATTCAGGAAGCTTTGCCAAAGAAGGGGGTGCATTGGAGAGCTTTCTACTACGGAGTGACACAATCAGGTCTGGCTTGCAGAAAGAGCCCCCTGGAGGCTGGTGTGGAGAAAGAAATATCGGGGGAAGTCAGAGGAGAGAATGAAGGCAGGAGACCCCAGCTGCAATCCAGATGAGGTGATGAGGGCTCACAGAAGGTGACAATGGTGAAGGCGGATTAGAGGTGAGTTTTTGGTAAAGCCAACAGGGCTGATGACTGATGGGACATAGAAGAAGAGGGCAAAGAGAAACAGATGCTGCGCAAGCATCATGTCACACCCTTGATTAGGGAGAATGTGAGAGAGACTGGGGGCCTGGAGAAGGCCTCACAGAAAAGGCAGCCCCACAGGTTGGCCTTGGAGTTAGACATGAACAGGTGGAGCAAAAGAGTAGGTGTGAAGGCACAGAGGTGGGCATGGGCTGTCATCCCTCCTGGGCTAAGCGGGAGAGGAAAAGCTAAGAGGTAAGTTCAGCTTACCAGGTAAGTTAAAAAGTAAGAAAAGGTAAGAGCAGCTACATGGAAACATGAAGCTGGAGCCTTTCTGCCCAGAGCAACTTGGGACCACTGAGTCCCGACAGAAACTTTACTCCAATTGTCATGGCTCTGAAGACCAATCCAGGTCCTCAGCTCAGCTGTCCTTTCTCTGAGATGGGCCTGAGTGGGGTATAGAGAGAAGCAGGATCCTTCTGGAAGATTCTCCTGCTGGCCTGAATAGCTCTGTGTTCATCAGGTGCCTCCATCTGGGTCTCCAAACGCAGAGTTGTTCCCAGACAGCCCCAGAATCTGCCCAGAAGCACCTTATCATTTTAGGGTACTATCAATCACCCACCCTGTTCTCTGTTCCTTTGGAACTTAGGGTTTCTTTTAGATGTTGATCCTCCGAGGGGAAGTTGTTCTGTGTCCCAAGGGCTTTCTTTGGTTACTGAAGGACTGTGATGTGGATTCTCAGGTGAACCATGAGGGCTGAGCTGCGGCTAAAGGCCTTCCCACAGTCACTGCACTTGTATGGCTTCTCTCCCGTGTGGATTCTCTGGTGCTCAGTGAGGGAGGAGCTCTGTGCAAAGGCCTTCGGACAAACCTTACACTGATATGGCTTCTCTCCGGAGTGGATTCTCAGGTGGCGGATCAGAGCTGAGCAGTCACTAAAGGCTCTCCCACAAGCGTCACACTTGTAGGGCTTCTCCCCAGTGTGGATGCGCTGGTGCTGAGTCAGATGGGTGCTCTGGCTGAAGGCCTTCCCACACTCTTCACACTCATAGGGCCTCTCCCCTGTGTGCACCCGCTGGTGCTGAGTGAGATGGGTACTGCGGCTGAAGGTTTTGCCACATTCCCCACACTTGTAGGGTTTTTCTCCAGTGTGGATCCTCTGGTGCTGAGTTAGGTGGGTGACCCGGCTGAAGGCCTTCCCACACTCTTTACACTCATGGGGCTTTGCCCCGGTGTGGATGACCTGATGCTGGGCTAAGTGAGTGCTCCGGCTGAAAGCTTTCCCACAGTCACTACAGGTGTAGGGTGTCTTCCGAGAATGGCTCTTCTGATGTGTCTCGAGGGCTGAGGGGCTCTGGAATGTTTTTCCACATTCACCACACTTGGAAGACCTCCTCCCTGAGTATATGCATGGAGGCTCTGTCCTATCACCATCTACTGCATCAAATTTCTCTTCTGGTGTCTTCTCTTTTGAGGTGAAATTTGGCCACACATTGGGACTATTCCCCAAGGCACCAGATTCACAGCTGGGCTGGTCAATGGGAACATCCTTGTGAGGCTCTGAAGTTTCCCTCAAATCCATCTCTTGGGGGACAGACTTCGTCCAGGTTTCCCCCGAGAGTCCTGCCTGCCTCTCTGAGCTGCCCTCAGGTTCACAAGCATCACCAAAGGTGGGTCCCAGGGAAATACCTCCCATAAGGGTTTCAGTGGCTCTGTCTAATGGCTCTGACTCTTCCAAATCACTCTGCATGCAGTTTGCCTCTGAGAGCTTGGCTTTCGGGTCCCATCCTGAAACAATCCAAACCACAGTGTCACCACTCTGTCCACACAGGGCTCCCCAACTCGGCCTGGTCTGACTCTGTAAGGGGAGACACAGCCACTCCTAATATTTGGCCCCATTTCCAAAGGAAAGTTTCTCATTTGGTGTCCTGGATGACAAAAGGGCATGGGGCTGTCCTCCCACACCATCAAAAACTGGATCACAGGTTTCAATCCCCCCTCCCCACAAGTCTCATTCTTCAAGGCTGCTGATTTTTGCTCAAGTATCAGAAGGAAGACTCTGATGTTGAACTGAACTGAAAGAGTGAGAGCGAGAGCAAGTAAGCACGCACAGGGGTTCTTCTTTGCCAAGTGCCTGCATACTCGCTCCCCCTGGGCAGGCCCCAGCTCTTGGTGCCTTCCCCATGGACCTAGACACCTACTGAGCATTTTCTGCAGGTGCTCAGTAAATACTGGCTGAATGAGGGAATTAATTCCAGATGCTCACAACTGTGCAGTTTCCTACAGTAGACTCTACCTCGAGCCCTAAGTAGACAAGTGCTGCTGAGGGTGAGTGGTGACACACCTGCCTGGCTTCCCTAAGACCCCAGGAGGATTGAGGCCCACTCTTTCTAAATGGCTGTGGAGGCAGAGTATGGTTAAAAGGAAGCTGGAGACTGGGTTGTGTATGAGTCAGTGGCATGTCTGAACTGACCTTTGAGCTGAACTGATCCTTGAGGGGTGCACAGGGCACCTGGGGACAGTGAACAGCATCGTGCACTGGACAGACCCCAGGAAGAGATGGGAGAAGGCATATAGCTGCCCACAGTGGGGCCCCAGCTCTGCCGCTGGCCAGCTCCAGGGCCTTGCGCAGTCTTGCTTGCTTTTGTCTGGCCCTGCTTCCCCACCTGTGCCAGAGGGACCCACCACCGCTCGCCTCCCAGGGGTGCTGGTCATTCTTGGACTCTTGTTATGTGCTAGTCTCCAAGTACAGTGGATCATTTCCATTGCCTCGTTTCAGCTTCAGTCTGCTCTCACAAGGACATACTGCAACGACTGCACTTCAACAAGGAAACAGGCCCAGTTGAAGGAAGGTCTTGAGTAACTAACTGGTACAAGATGACACAGTTAGCTAGCAGCCAAGTTGAGATTTCAACTGTAGATCTCAGCTTTCCTCCTCTAAGCCTACAGATGTCCTCCTAACACCCCAGCCTCTCCAGCCACATGCTTGGTCCCACATCTCCCTTTCTTCCTCTATTCTAGAAATATCACACAACCTGCCTTTCCAGAATTCACTGGTCCTTACTGTACCACTGGCCCTTCACCTCCCACCATTCCCTCTGCCTGGACTGCCAGGTCCTTCTTGTCTCAGTGCCATATTGCCTTTTCTCTGAAAACTTCGACCCTGCAGGAAGATGGGGTCATTACCCTTGTCCCCATGACCTCTGCCTGGGCACAGCTGATGGGGCCACGGGAAAGCACATGACTACCCTCTCCAGAAAAGTCTGCTTCTTAAGGAGCTAAAAAAAAAATCATCCTAACAGCCCCAGTTTCCACTGTGTTTAATCTGTGCCAGGCATTGACACTGAGGTAGGTATTATGACTGCAATTCCCATTTTATTGACAGGGAAACAGAGGCACAAGAAAGTCACATGACCAGGAGGAAGAAGAGCAGTGGTGGATCTACCAACCCTTGATCATACTTTTGTTCCTCCTACTCACAGCACGCCTCCTCCCAGGTCCTGGCATATACACGCTATCTGCTACCATCACGCCTGGCCACACTGGGCCAGGCCCTTCTGGGAGGAGCCTTCACTCCCTGCTCTCGATTGTCCTGCCATCCTCTCTGCGTCCTACAGGCCCTCCCCGGGCTGGGATATTGGTGTGGGTCCCCCAAAGCAACAGTGCCCACTCTAGTTAAGGGCAAGACTGACTCAGCCAGATCCTAGAGGGCCAGCAGAGGGAGGAATCAGAGAAGACACAAGGAGACACTGGGTATTTCTGTCACTCCCGCCCCCACCCTCACAGGCTTCCAGCTCCCAGCAGCCTGGTTTTCCTTGCTCATCTTGCTCATCATCCAAAAAACAAGCACAAGACCCCAACCAGTTCAGCTGGCCTCAGCCCAGGAATCTTTTACTGTTCTTCCTGGGGGTTTCTACACTGGTAAGACATAAGTCTGGGTTGCTGAGCCAATTTTATCTCCAATGAGGATAGAAGCTGCTTAAGAGTAAAGCTAGGGGCACCTGGGTGGCTCAATTGATTAAGTGTCTGCCTTTGGCTTGGGTCATGATCTCAAGGCCCTAGGATTGAGCCCCCCCATCAGGCTACCTGCTCAGTGGTGAGACTGCTTCTCCCTCTTCCTCTGCCCCTCCCTGCCGCTCCTGCGCACTCTCTAAAAAAAAAAAAAAAAAAAAAAAAAAAAAAAAAAAAAGGAAAAGGAAAAGAAAGAGAGAGAGAGAGAGAGAAACTAATGTAGGAAAACCCAACTGAGAAGCAGAATGAGAAAAAAAGAGTCCTGATACCATCAACAGAGCTCCTGAATATAGCCACGAGGCCTCCCTACTTTGCTTCAGTCAGTTTGGGCTGGGATTTTGGTCATTAGCAATCAAAACAGATCTGCTTAGCACAGTGTGTGAGAGTCTGGGTGAGGTACAAAGGTGACGAGTGTGTGTGTGAGCGACCCCAAGCCCAGACCCTGCACTCCCACATTCCAGTCCGGGCTCTGCCCTCAGTGCGCTGTGAACAGTTACCAGCTGCTCCGCCTCACCTCTCTTGTCGAGTGCCCGAGTCAGACCTTCCACCAGCATGGCAGCCTCCTCACCACTCTTGGGGAACTGGGCACCCACCCAGGACTGCATCTTGGGGGGCAGCGCCCCCAGGAACTGCTCCAGCACCAGCAGCTCCAGCATCTGCTCCTTGGAGTGCGCCTCGGGCTGCAGCCACTGGTGGCACAGCTCACGCAGCCGGGCCAGGGCCTCATGTGGGTTGGATGCCTCCTCATAGCAGAAGCGCCGGAAGCGAAGACGAGCAGCCTCAGGGTGGGCAGTGTGGCCAGAGCTAGATTCCTGGATCTCAGAGAGGGTGGCCTCCTCATCCTCCACCTTCACACGCAGGAAGCCTTCCTGTTCCCAGGGCACTGGGCTCAGAGGACTCTTGGGGATGGCCATCAAGCAGCAGTACAAAAGGGAGGCACAGGAGGGCTGGAGTGTTGGAACTGGGTCTGCAGGAATGCCAGAACTTTGTCATCGTGTGGAACTTGGTGCTCTGCTCGTACCTGTAGAGCAGGGCAGATGCAGACTGGGGGCCTGTGAGATGTGACTCATTCTCACAGAGACATAGATGCTCAAAATAATCAGATGCTAAGCACCATTCTAAACGTTTGTATATAGTAACTCATTTAAAACTCATAACGAAGTCAGGAGGTGGGAACTTCCTTTCCATTGTATCAATATGAAAACAGATAGAAAGGAGAAGAGTTGCCCAAAGATTCCCAGATACTGAAGGTATGGGGAGTTGCTGAGCTGTAAACCAAGGCAGCCTGAGCCCATGGCTGGTCTGCTTACAGTGCTCTTCCCACACAGAACCAGATCTCCCTCCCCTCACACACACTCCTCAGGTAGCTACACACGGTCATTCACTCACTTTATTTGCTAATTATTTTGTAGCTTCTGAGATGGATACTTATATAATTGACATTCAGCCTTTCTTCCTTTCCTCTTTTCTAATACATTTACTTAAGGTTATAAATTTCCTTCTAAACAAAGCTTTAACTGCACACCCATCAGTTCGATGTTGCATTTTCATTATCATTTAATGAGTTCAGAATATTTTCTCATTTTCGTTGTAGTTTCTTCCTGACCCATGGGTTATTTAGAAATCTACTCTTTCATTTCCAAACAATTGGGGTTTTCTAGTTATCTTCTTATTGTTGATTACCAGATTAAGACTGTTGTGCTCAGAAAATGTGCTTTAGTCATTTTTAATCCTTTGAAATTTGCTAAGACTTGGTTTGTAACCCAATATATAGTTAATTTTAGTCAGTGTTCTGCATAAACTTAAAAAATAATGCAAAAAACTGGGGCTCCTGGGTGGCTCAGTGGGTTGAGGTCTCTGCCTTCAGCTCAGGTCATGATCTCAGGGTCCTGGGATCGAGCCCCGCATCAGGCTCTCTGCTCAGCAGGGAGCCTGCTTCCTCTCTCTCTCTCTCTGCCTGCCTCTCTGACTACTTGTAATCTCTACCAAATAAATAAAATCTTTTAAAAAAATGCAAAAAATTAAAAACAGAACTACCCATACAATCCAGCAATTCCATTTCTGGGCATTTATCTGAAGAAAATGAAAACACTAACTTGAAAAGATATATTCACCCTATATTCATTGCAGCATTATTTATAATAGCCAAGATATGGAAGCAACCTAAATGTCCAACAACAGATGAAGGGATAAAGAAGATGCGGCATATATATATCATATATATCCATATACACATGATATGATACATATACATGATACATATGATATACATGATACATATGATGTCATACATATATGTGACATACGTAGATAGATAGATATAGATATATATATCAGCCATAAAGAAGAATAAAATCTTGCCATTCATGACAACATGGATGGACCCTGAGGTATTATGGTAAGTGAAATAAATCAGAGAAAGACAGATACCATTTGATTTCACTTACATGTGGAATCTAAAAAACAAACAAGTGGACATACAAAAGAAAACCAGATTCAGGGACGCCTGGGTGGCTCAGTTAGTTGAGTGGCTGCCTTCGGCTCAGGTCATGATCCCAGGGTCCTGGGATCAAGTCCCACATCCGGCTCCTTGCTCAGCAGGGAGCCTGCTTCTCTCTCTGCCTCTGCCTGCTTGTGTGCTCTCTCCCTCTCTTTCTCTGACAAATAAATAAAATCTTAAAAAAAACAACACAACAACAACTAGATTCATAGATACAGAGAACAGACTGATGGCTGCCAGAGAAGGGGGTTTGGGACTGGGTGAAAGGGATCAAGAGATACAAACTTGCACTTATAAAATAAATAGGTTATGGGGATGTAATGTAAAACACACAGAATATAGATCATGATATTGTATTAACTTTTTATGGTAAGAAATGGTAACTAGACTTATTGTAGAGCATTTTACACTGTGTATGAATTCTGAATCACGGTTGTACATCTGAAACCAATAAAATGTTGTACATTAACTATACTTCAATTAAAAAAATGCAAAGCCTTCCCAGATAAATGAAGGAGGATAAACAAATGATGACAGATAAACAACTTCATCAACATTAAAAACTTTCATGATTTGAAGGACACCAACAAGAAAGCAAAAAGGCAACCCATAATATGGCAGGAAACATTTACAAAATATATCTGATAAGGAACCTGTATCTAAACAATTCCATAATAAAAAGACAAATAATCCAGTTAAAGAACGGGCAAAGGTTTTGACTAGACATTTCTTCAAAGAAGATATACAAATGGCTAAGAGGCAACATGAAAAGATGCCCAACCACAGAAATCCAAATCAAACTCCCAATGAGATACCACTTTACACCTGCTAAGATGGCTAAAATCAAAAAGAGGTAACAGGGGCGCCGGGGTGGCTCAGTTGGTTAAGAGACTGCCTTTGGCTCAGGTCATGATCCTGGAATCCTGGGATCGAGTTCCGCATCAGGCTGCCTGTTTGGCAGGGAGTCTGCTTCTCCCTCTGACCCTTCTTCCCTTTTCATCCTCTCTCTCTCTCAAATAAATAAATAAAATCTTTAAAAAAAAAAAAAAAAAAGGAGGTAACAAATGTTGGTTGGCATTTGAGCCATGGCCTTGGGCACAGGGAAAAGCAAACCTTAGTAAAGTAAGTCCCCAATCCCGAAACCTTTCTGTGGCAGCTGGCAACTTCTGGCAAAACTGTGTTCGAGCCCCTAGAAGCTCATTTGGATCTCTTGTCACCTTGTCCTTGCCATCATCCCCAACCCGCATCTTTACAGCCTTCGTCCCTGTTATTCTCATGTTCTACGATCTCTCTCTGCACCTAAATTCTCCTACTCCTCCAGACTGCGCTTTGCCTGCCTTCGTCTCCAAGAGCTGTCCAAGCGCTTGGAACAAGCTAAGTGAATGCCCTGGGTCTCTCTTTCCTATAGCTCTGGCTGTAACCACATGTTACCCCAGAGAGACCCGGCAAGCGGGAGCAACAGCGCCCAGGGCACGCACGGCCCACGTCAAGTGCATAGTAAACAGGTGCTGAGCAAATTGGGACCGGGGAAGGCTGGGCATGGTCACCCACAGACGTGGGGAGTCCACTGTACAGGCGAGGGGAAGCAGCAAGGGACGGCAGTAAGTGCACCAAGATTCCAAGCTCCCTTTTGGACACCGGGAGCTTCTATTCTGGAAAATTCCTGATGACAGTCGCTGAAACACATGGACACGGAACCGCCTCAGCCCATCCCCCTCCGCGCTGACCGGACATCAGGTCAAGGTCCCCGGATTCGTGAGTGTTCAGCCAACCGAAGACAGTGGTCCTCACTTGTAGCTGTCCTGACAACTGACCTACCTTAGAGGGCTGCTGTGAGGTCACCCAAGGTGCTCCATGATGAACGTGCAGCAGCGGCCGGCACTCGGCGAACACGTGGTGGACACCCAGTCCGCTGACTCCACAGCCTCCTGCCGGGTTAAGCACACAGAAGCTGCTGGGGACACATCCACAAACCCGGGTGGGTGTCCGCCGTCCAAGAGCTGCAGCTGCGGGCGCGGCGAAGCACAGACTCGGTAAACTCTGCTTAGTACCCCCGTTCCAGCGGGCCCGGCAACGTGTTAGCCACACGGTCGCACGCACACAGCCTACCTCAGGCGCGGCGTCAGCCACACCCCCGAATCCACCCGGGCACTCCCAATCTCTGTGTCACTCCCAGTCAGGGCAGGAGCCACAGGTCCTCACAGCGGCGCCAACGCCCCCGCGAACCCCTTCATTCCGCGGCTCTGAGCCGCTCGCCCCGCAGCCACACCCCCACGTTCCCACTCCTGACCGCACACAAGCCGCGGGAGCGCAAGCCCCCAGCCCCGTCGGCCACACACCACAGCGAGCGGCCCGTCAGAAACACGCGCCCGCGGCGTGGCGCCGCTGCAGCCCACTCTCAGGCTGCATCCCCGTCCGGGGGCCCCACGCTCGGGCAGGGAGTTCTACACTCGGCTGGGGCGGCCATCACGCGGCCCTCCAGTCGCGCCGCTCGTGGTCAGCGCCTCAGTTCCCGCCGGCGGGTCGGTCCCTCACGCCTCGCACAGGCCGCCGCACGAGCTGGCAGCTTCGGGGCGTGGAAGGTTCCTCTCCCGCTGCGACCCCAGCGGACCGCCTCAAGACTCACCTCACCCGCGCGGCGGGAGCCACTTCCGGGAGCTCACCGGGCGGTGCCCGCTCGTCGGGACCACGACTCCCAGAATGCGCCGCGCTGTCCGGCAGCGCGCCCGCCCGCCCGCCCGCCGGGACCACAATTCCCAGAATGCGCCTCGCCGTCCTGCGGGCGCGTGGACTCGGCGGAACCACAATCCTCAGGGTTCTCGCGTTTCAAGCGCCTCAGCCCGCACGCCGCCCTCCCGGATTATAAGCCCCAGAAAGCCCCGCGTCCCCTCCTGCGCACCGTGGGGGCACGACGGTAGTTGCAGTGCGGGCGGGTAGTGGGCAGAAGGCTGGCCCACTGTGGGGTTGTGGCGGCCGTGAGTGGAGAGTTGGGCCAGGGGCTGTGCGGGAGGTGGAAGCGTGCACGGTGCGTGGGGGTGAGGGGTGACGGTATCGGTGTGAGGGTTGTCACCGTGTGTAGCATGTGTTGCTTTTTGTGACGGTATACAGTTGATTGCACGTGTTTGTCCTTTGTGGCTGTAGGTGCCCCACAATCTAGGGTGAATGTGTTATTCGCTGTGACCACGTGTGTGGGTAGTTCTTGTGTGTGTAACTTGTGCGTGTGCTCTCTGTGTTAGTCACCGTATGTGATAATCCTGCAGCACGGTGTGGCTGTCACATTGAAAGAGGGTGTCTGGTGGTGGTACCCAGGAGGGCCCGGTACAGCAGGAGGGTCCCAGACTGTGTAGAATTGCTCTGTGATGGTGCAGGGACTGTGACTGTGATCGCGGATGTGACTGTGTGATAGTGTGGATGCCTGAATGTGTGACTATATGTGAAAACATGTCCTCTGTGGAGAGTCTGAGCAGGAGACTCCGGCTGGGGGCGGAGGACAGGGTGGGTAGGGGCCCAGCCTGTGTGGTGAGGCTTTGAGGTTGGCCTGGCCCATGCTTACTGATCCCAGCCTGCGATCATGGCCCCTTCTGCTCGTCAGACCTTTGCCTGCAGCCAGAATGAGCACCTTGTGTCTTCCACAGATGTGCACTGAGCAGTAAGGGCCAATGCCATCCCAGATGGGACCTGCAGAGAAGACGACAGGCACCGCCTGCCTCTATGGAGCGGACGTTGTTGTTGGGAAGGCAGACAGTAATCAAAGACGCAAAAACTGCTTCTGAGGAGGTGGCATCCCAGCCGAGTCCTGAATAGAGGGAAGAGGCAGAGTGTTTCAGTAGATGGAATGCTAATCCCAAGAGTCCGAGGCGGGTACAGGCAAGGAGGTCCAGCTGGAGTGGATTGAGGGAAGGACACAGCAAAGGATAGGGATGGAATCGGGAGTCCTGTGGGGGCAGATGGTGCAGAGCTTATGGGCCATGTGTGGACTTGGATGTCTACCCTGAGAGAGGTAGGAGCCATGGGAAGCCTTTGGCCAGAGGATTGTGCTTTGATTTAGGTCTTTGTAGGATTCCTCTGGCTGTTACAGGGGAAGACTCCTGGGGTGAGGGTAGAGGTGGGAAGACCTAGGAGGTGAGTGCTGCTGGAATCCCAGGGAGCAGGGTAGGTCGGATCAGGATGGTAGAGGTAGAGGTATTGCTAAGTGGTCAGATACAGATCTGTTTTGAAGACGGAACAGACAAGCTCAATGGGTTGAAGTGCAGCATCCAAGGGGAGAGCAAGGCTGGCCCAGGAGCCTGAGAGTGT